TTCTTCCCCGCATAAGATCAAATAGAGGCCTTCAGGTCTGCATGATAGCTCTGGGTGTTTGTATCCCTGGATGTAGGTTCTTGGGAATCATCACTTTGAATATTGCTTGCCACTCCGTTTTTACCAGCAAAGTTTCTGTTGAGAAATCAGCTGACAGTCGTATGGGTATTCCCTTGAAGGTAACTGAGTTTCTTTCTCTTGCTGCTTTTAAGATTCTCTCTTTGTCTTTTGCTCTTGGCATTTTAATTATGATGTGTCTTGGTGTGGTCCTCTTTGGATTCCTTTTGTTTAGGGTTCTCTGCGCTTCCTGGACCTGTAAGTCTATTTCTTTCACCAGGTGGGGGAAGTTTTCTGTCATTATTTCTTCAAATAGGTGTTCAATATCTTGCTCTCTCTCATCTTCTGGCACCCCTATAATTCTGATGTTGGTACATTTGAAGCTGTCCCAGAGGCTCCTTACACTATCTTCGTATTTTGGGATTCTTTTTTCATTTTGCTTTTCCGGTTGGGTGTTTTTTGCTTCTTCGTATTTCAAATCTTTGACTTGATTCTTGCGCTCCTCTGGTCTGCTGTTGGGAGACTGTATAATATTCTTTATTTCAGTCCGTGTATGCTTAATTTCTAGTTGGTTCTTTATCACAGCATCGAGGGTCTCATTAGATTTCTTGTAGATCTCAATAAGTTTATCGGTGGTCTCACCAGTCTTTTCGAGGGCCTTACTAAATTTATCGGCGGCTTCTAGACAGTTCTTGAGAGACCTTAAAAGTGTGGTTCTGAATTCAATATCCTCTCTTGATAGTTTTGTCCTGTTTCTTTGTCTCCGCATTTTTTATGCTTTCTTGGTGCACCCCCTAGTGGTCTTTGTGCGCAGTCTTGTTGTAGTTAAGCCTTGATTGTTGTAGTTAATACTAGAGGGATTTGACCTCCAGGCCGACTGGCTGTGAGAATCAGCTGTGTCTGCAGTGGGAAAACTTCTGTCGAGAGGTGCTAATCCGGCAAATGGCTCTGCGCAGGGCTTGGGTGGGGCGGGGCGGGTCGCACAGGATCAACAGGGCGGGCGGAGGGAGCAGTTATGGCTGCTCTCAGTCCCGTTCCCAGAGGCCCTGCTTCGCAGATTCCCAGCAACCGCTGCAAACCTCGGAGAGAAAGCTGCCCTCGCGTTCCCACCAATGCCAGACAGTCCCGCTTCTCCCGTTTGAGTCTGGGTCCCTAGAGACTCACCCGGAACTGGAGCTCAGAGTCTGTGACTCCCTCCCGATTGAAAAGGACAACCGCGCCCTCAGCCACCAGCCCGCTCCACGCGCACCTCCGCACCTTAGTATTTTCCACACTGCGCCTCCTCTGAGCCTCAGTATGCTGTTCTCTTTCCTTCTAGTTGAAGAATCTCTCCTCAGCCAGCCTTCCTGTGGTTCTGGGTGATGTCCGTTCCGTCTTTTAGTTGTATTTTTGAAGTGGTTGTTCGAGGCGGCAAACTCCGGTGTTTACCTATGCCGCCATTTTGGTTCCTCTCCCAAAAGTGCTCCCGAGAGCCTCTTTAGACACTTTCTTTTTAATCATACCCCTCCCCAGTTAACTTCTAATACCACATATATACTCTTATTTGCTTGTGTGTGGTGGCCCTTTCAGAGGGCCCAAAACTTTTGTAAAACTTAAGTTATTTTGCCTTTGAAGAAACTATTTACACCCCCTTAGGGTTTAGGGAGGCTGACAGGATGTTGAGATGTCAGGGAGGTGAGGTTAATGTCCAAGGCTGGATGGTGTCTGAAGATTTGCCTGAAAAAAATGAAGAGGCCTGGAGAGGATGGGGGCTCAGAAACTAGTATTAGTACCCTTTTACTGAATGTTGTAGGAACCATCAGAATATGAAAGCCCCCAATTTCTTTTTCATAAGAAAGTTCTTGAGGGGGCTGGCACTTTGTGGACAGGGAATTCTCAAAGTCAAAGGCAGTTAATGACACATCTGCAGGTAGTTTAATGGTTTCAAGGTCTTTTACTAAGAGCCCAACTCCATAGGAGCTGGAGGTTTCAGAGGTTTAAAGGTATCAGGTTAATTCTCTATCACCCTCCATTACATGTTGGATTCAGGACACTGCAGTATAGTTTTATGATGTCTGTTGTGAGTTAAAAATAATAGTAGGTATTATTTATCATGTGCTAGGCACTGCACTAAGCATATTAGTGGGCCATTTTATTTAACTTTTACAACAATCTTGTCAGCCGGGTATGATCATTCTCCAAGACTAACAGAGGTTAGCAAACTCGCCCCAGATCACACAGCTGATAATTGAAAGTGCCAGACCTTGAACCCATACGGGCTTCAGAGAGACACATGGAAGTAGATGGCTCAAGAGAAGAAAGTTCTAAAGAGGAGAAGGTAAGCCCCTGAAAGGCCCAAGAATCAGCCATCTCTGTATCCCTCAGTCCAAAATCTGGCACAGAGGATGGGGCTCCATGGATGGATAGAAATAGAGCTGCCCTGCAGTAGAATGGGTTCCCCATGAAACAGCGAGATCCCCATGGATACTCCCCACAATAGGGCTTGTTTGACACTAGATAGAGCACCACAGAGGGATCACAGAGAGGGGATTTTTGCATCCTTAAACTTGGTGACCTCTAAAGCTCACGCGTCCTGTAATTATTGGACTGAGTCTACGACTCAGACTTTGGGAAGTCACAGCTCACCTAGCATTCAGCAGTGCATTGAGATCTTAAAAAGTGGAGAACATGGGTAGAAAGGACTTATGGGCTCCAGAACCCACGCTTCCAGGAGTCAGAGTGGCTCGCCGTAACTCTGGGGAGCTAGGAACCTCTCAATCTTGCTCCAAATGCTAATCTGGAGAAACAGATGTTCAAATCATTTACTCTAGAGAAAGGCTCTGCCTGTGGGTTTCAGCTGCTGTCATGGGAGCTGAAAAAGAAGAGGAACACTCCTTCCTAGCAGATGGTGAAAACAAAAATCAGTATGTCAACAAATGAGTTTCTGACAGTTGTTTGCTGAACGCGATCAAATGAGCCCCACAAAATGCACACTGTGGGGTTGACCATTGTTCCCCACATGCACTGTCTCTTTTCAGTCCGTGCTGAGGGTCCATGGTAAACACTCAGAATTGCCCCCTCTGTCCCCATGGAGTGAGTCCCAAAGTACAGGTAGATGCAAGTGCTCAGCTTTCCAGAGGGCTCACACAAATGTGGTGGCTCACAACAATAACAAATGTATCTGTCAACACTGATATCAGACCTTCAGATTCCACTTTCAAAAGAGTCATGCATGCCCTAGCCGGTTTGGCTCAATGGATAGAGCGTCAACCTGCAGACTAAAGGGTCCCAGGTTTGATTCTGGCCAGGGGCAAATGCCTGGGTTGTGGGCTTGATCCCCAGCAGGGGGCGTGCAGGAGGCAGCCGATCAGTGGTTCTCTCTCATCATTGATGTTTCTATCTCTCTCTCCCTCTCCCTTCCTCTATGAAATCAATAAAGAAATATATATATATGAGTCATGCAGCCTAACAACCAGAGCCTTCTGTGGGGCATAAGGTACCTATTGATGGAGATACCTTAGTTGTACAATCCAAGGAGCAGCTTAATCAACACACACACACACACACACACACACACACACACACACACACGATTCTATGAAATTAGCCAAACCTCACTTGTTGTGCAAGTTTTTAAAGAAGTAATTACCTGAGTACAAAGCACCCTTATCTATAGGCTTTACAGAATCTGTTGGGCCCAACTTTATTATTATCTACATTTCTTTGCTTCTATCCCTTTGTGATTCACCATTTTATCTTTTCACTTGCTTCCCTCAAAACCAAATCTCCCCAGTTGTGTCTGTAGCTAGAGCTTCGCATCTCCCCTGTGGCCTGGTGGTCTCTTGTGTGAGAGAACCTAGACTGCATCGACCATCACCACACCATTTGCATCTCCAACCCTTTTTTTTTTCTTCAGGGGTCTGAGCTCTAAGACCTGCTGAATCTTCTTCCTGCCTCTAAAGAAACATGGATCAGACATCGTATAATAACGATGTGAAACCCACCAAAGTATATTTCCCAAACAGTAAGGAGTGGCCTTCCGCTCTTTACAAAAGGGTAAAAACTTCCACCTGCCAATAGAGAACAGTGGCTACTGAGTAGGTTTCAGGAACTTGAATTTAAAAACTGGGTTCCCCTTGTAACTCTGGACAAAGCAACTTCTATTAACGGCTTTTAAACTATCTATCTGACTTCTCCCAAACTCAGCAACTAGTTCTTTTTAAGCATAAGATCTTCAGCTGAAAAGGTCATAAATAGAATTTTGTTATTAATATCAAGATCCCAGGACACAGCCTGCTCACACAGATAGATGCTGCCCCCGAGATGTTCCCTGCAGAAGTACGTACACAGATGCTGTACACATCGATGCTTCTCACAGACAGATGTTATTGTACACAGAGACAGATGTTACTCACAGAGACAGATGTCCACCAGGAACACGATGTACACCAAAAGCTCCCGCAGGGTGGTCTTGACATAAAGTTCCCGGTTCTCAGCTGTATTCTCAGTCAGGGCTGTCCCCCAAAGTCCTACGAGGCATTGGAGAGATGCCCAGGATCCCCAACAGCAGGGTCCCTCCCAGTGATCCCCACCCATCAGTTCCTGTATTTTACTCCCATCTCCATCCCAGCCCCTTTCCTCACCCATCATCTTATCCCTTGGCTGAATCTAGCTACTCTGACCAGGCCTATCCTCCTCCAGCAAAGTCCCCAAATGAAGGCATGGAAAGACCCACTTGGTCCAGGTGGGGCCGTCTAGAGCAGTGGTTCTCAACCTTCTGGCCCTTTAAATACAGTTCCTCATGTTGTGACCCAACCATAAAATTATTTTCGTTGCTACTTCATAACTGTAATGTTGCTACTGTTATGAATCGTAATGTAAATATCTGATATGCAGGATGGTCTTAGGCGACCCCTGTAAAAGGGTCGTTCGACCGCCAAAGGGGTCGCGACCCAAAGGTTGAGAACCGCTGGTCTAGCGCATCATCACACCCATGTCTTTCCTTAAACTAGCTCCCATGTACCCTTGTGGGCCCCCAGGTGATGACTGTGCAGGCTTCCCCTCTGGGGAACATGGGCTGGCTCCCGGGTTCTCGGGCCTGCAGTTCTAACACAGACAATTCACAAACCTCAAAGAGGCGTGAGAGTCCACCTCTTCTTCAGATCACTTCTCCCCACCAACAAGCTGTTGGTGACCCCTTCCCCTGACTCCAGTACCCTAGGAAAACCCTCCCCCACCAGCTACCTCTGATGCCCCGGCAAATCTGGAGGCAGCAGGTGGACACCAGGGTCCTGTGTGCCTTCTCCTGGGGTCTGTCTTCAGGCTTCGTGGGCTGGGGCTGGGCCTGGGGGGGCACCGCACTGGAGATAGTGCAGATCCTCAGCGGCCCATGTGGGGAGGGAGGGCCACTGTAGGCGGGGTTGTCCCAGGCTTCGCTCCCCAGATTTTGCAGCTCCTGCCCCTCAGGACTTTCGATAGCATTCATGGGGAATGAGGTGGGGACCTGACACCTCAGGTGTCCACTCTCACCTGAGAAAGAGGGAGCAAAGGCCCAGCCCAGCTAGGCCAGCAGAGGGCAAGGGAGTCTGAGAGCAGCTGGTCTCGCACAGCCTCTGCCTCCTGCCTTTTGTAGGGAAATCTGTGGCTGCTGTGGGGAGGGAACAGAGGAGGCGAGGCGGGGGAGGACCATCAATCCCGTCAGGGGCTCTCTTTCTCTCCCTTCTGCTGCAGGTCCCAGGGGAGAAGGAGAAAGGGGTGGGAGGGATCTGTGAGGCAGGGGTTTGACGAACTCTTTTTTTGAGAAAAGGGAAAATGAAGAAGATGTGAAGACTCGGGTGGAAGGAAGGAGGGGTGAAAGAGGTGAGCGCTGGCGGGGAGGGGAGAGCTGCTTGCAGATGGGGCCTGATGGAGGGATGGTCCTGAGCCCAGTGAGACAGAAGAGGTGATGAAAGAGCAATGGGAGGAGCTGGGAGAGCAGGAGGCTGGTGGACTCCATTGTGGGTCTGAGCTCATTTCCACTAAAAGCTCCTGCAAGGGCTGACATCGTTTGGGAAGCCGGGGGGAGGGGGACACCACATCCAGGGAAGAGAGACTGAAAAGTGCTGCCTCCCTAACAGGCTCAGCCAATGGTGTCTGGGGATGCTTTACCCTCTGACCTTGAGCTGTCCCCTGGTGGGATACAGAGGGGGAGCTCCCCTCCCTCACTTCACCCCATAGCTGGGGGGAAAGGATAGTGGCAGGAGGACCCCCAGTTTGCAGATACCTAAGCGACAGGGCCTCTGACTGCTGATGAGGAAGGGAGAATGTCTGCAGAGTTTCGGGTCGTATCCTTTTCCCTGAGGTCTGGTAGAAAGTTCTCGTTTCTCAGCTGTGCTCGTGGCTTGGAGAGAGCTATACCGATAGAAAGGTGCCCCTTAAGGATGTGGGGCTCAACCTGGGGAAAGGCTAAGCCCTGATTGGGAGGATGGGTAGGAGAGGACAGGGTGACCTGGGACTCCTTAAGGGGAGTGTATTACTGGGCCCAGCTCAGCCGACAACCTTACCTATGGCTCTGCTTCTACTGGACCTGGAACTATGTGTGAGCACAAAACGGAAATATGAGAGCGATCAGGGCTGACCTGCTTTCCTCCCAATCTCAGGTCTCTGAATGTAAATCCTGGCAGGAGCCCTCAAGCACACCTCTGACTAGGCCCACAGCTGGCCTCTGACCACCTGCCCTGGCTCATATACAGGCCTGTGCTGTGGCCCAGAATGGGGCTGGCCCCACGCGTGCGGGTAGTTACCTCCTCCTGATGGCTGGAGTCAGGGCTACCCTTCCTCCACCTCCTGGCTCTCTATCTGGGCTGCTCTATAGCTGCACTGGCCCGAAGCCCCCGTTTCACACTCAGTAAAACATCAGCCTGGTGGACGCCACCAGTCTTGAATGTCCTCATAAAGAGATCCTGACTCTAGACCAGGGGTCCTCACACTTTTTAAACAGGGGGCCAGTTCACTGTCCCTCAGACCGTTGGAGGGCCGGACTATAATTTTAAAAAAAACTATGAACAAATTCCTATGCACACTGCACATATCTTATTTTAAAGTAAAAAACAAAAAAAACAAAACGGGAACAAATACAGTATTTGTATTTGCATGTGGCCCGCGGGCCGTAGTTTGAGGAACCCTGCAGACAACCCAGGGCTGGGCCAGCTCCTTGATCAATAAGTGCAACCCAACATCTGCGGCAGGGTTGAGTAAGCAGCAGCTGTCCTACCACTGGGTCTGCTGTATGGATCTCCTGCTTCAGCCCAGACACTGTTAAGGGAACTGACTCTGTGTGGCCTGGAGCTAAGGCCTCTCTGTGAGCCCTCCCAGATGGAGTTCCCGTCTCTCCATTTTATTGGCTAGTGAGACACCTTCCAAGGTGCTCGGTTTCTTTGGGAAGACAAAAAATAAGGAACGGTGCCAGTATTGCCTATATTGTGTAAAATCAGCTGATTTTGTGCTTCTTACCCACAAGCTTTCAAACAATTGCAAAAGGATTCCGGCTTGCAAAACTGAACATTGGGACAGGGGTGAGGAACAGAGTGAGGAAGCTAACAGTATAGGCCACAGTAGTGGGGAAGGGAACAGGAGATGGTTTCTGATTTCTTTGGGGATAATTCTATATTTTGAGGGAGGTCTTTGATCAGCAGGGCTTTGGATAGACTCATCACATGACAGGCCCCATACTCCTGAGAGCTTATGGCCAGAGCTGGACTGCTTTTATTTATGGTCATCTACCTGAACAATGCCTTTTGCTGCTCAGTCTTGAGCACTCTGCATGTGTGTGGATCAACCCCTAATGCCCCTGAGAGCACAGGTTATGTAACAGCTTGAGAAATTTCCTCCCCAAATGCTCTTTATTTCTAGCATATGTAGTCTTACTCAAGAAGTTGCTGATCTTGTAATCAAGTGGGATCTCCTAAAGATTTTGTGCCCAGCAGTTCTCCATGTCCTCAAGTTTCTACTGACACTTGACTTTTCTTATGTGACCCTATTAAAGTGGGCAACCAATTTCAGAGGAGTCTCATGGCTCAGACTGCAAAACCCAAGAGGCTTGAACTTGAAACCAAAACTCCCGGGTGTAATTCTTGGCTTAGCTCTTTACTAACCATCTGGTTCTGGCTCGGTCCCTTTCGAGACTTAGTTTACCACTCTGCAAAGTGTTGATAATAGAGCCTGCCTTGCTTACCTTGAGGACTGTTATAGGATTAAAACAGTAGAATATAAAGTCTTTTAGTGTACTATAAAGCACAAAACACATTTATCTTACCATAGCATCCATCCATCCTTGCGCATTCCGCTCATGCACAGCAGTTCAGATTTAAGGTATATACCTTCATCCAGGACTCTGCTGTTGTTTTCCCAGGGGCACAAGAGTCCCAGAACTTTCTGCATTCACTCCCATTCCATTTCAGCTGACACCAATGAAACAGAATAAGGTCATTTCAGTGTGAGGGTATTATAAAAGTCCTGGAATGAAAGCACCTTCTTGTTGCCCATCAAATTCCAAAGACATCTTAATGATGATGCCTCTTAGTCCACTTGGTGCATTGGTCCCATTGCTTCACTGGGATAAATTTTTTGGTCACATGCTGTCCTAGTTCAGGCATTGAGAAGAGAATTACCCCATTTCTACCATCATTGTGCTCCCTTTTTACACAATTCCCCTCCCAGACAGACTCTTTGTGCTATTTGGATCTACTGGGCCCTGACAAAGAGCGTAGGGACATCAAAGTCTGTAGGATAAAAACTTGTGGTCCACCTCCCTGTAAATTCTCCATATAAGTTCCCCTGGAATAAGTCACCTCCCATATTCTAGAGCAAGCATGTCACACATGCGGCCCACCAGCCGCGAGTTTGACATGCTTGTTCTAGAGCAGTGGTTCTCAACCTTCTTAATGCCGCGACCCTTTAATACAGTTCCTCATGTTGTGGTGACCCCCAACCATAAAATTATTTTAGTTGCTACTTCATAACTGTAATTATGCTACTGTTATGAATCATAATGTAAATATCTGATATACGGGATGTATTTAGGCGACCCCTGTGAAAGGGTCGTTCGACCGCCAAAGGGGTTGCGACCCACAGGTTGAGAACCGCTGTTCTAGAGGAAGGAATTTGGGGATCATTTATAGTCCAGATTCGACTATCCTACAGTCCAGAAGCAAGCTGCAAACCACCTTCTGTATTCCACATAGTGACTCTCAACCTTTTTCACCCCAATAAACATAAACAATAGGACACACTCTCTAAGTAGTGCTATCTCGCTATGGCAATTATTCTCAATAGAAGACATTGGAAATCACTTATCTATAAGAGCTTAACCTTCACCAATATACCACCAGAGTCATCTGCATAGCAAAAGTTCTGAAATTTGAGTAGCCCAATTTTCAGCAACAACAAACGTGTGAGTTTGGACCAAGCAAGCAGACCAGAGTAGGCTAAGCCCCAGAGAGTCCTCCCCTGCCTGTCTTTATATAACAAACCTCACTGCACTGCACCAGGGGCTTCCACAAGCCCTAGCTTCTCAAAACATCAGAATGGACAAGCCAGATCCCTTGGAAGGTTTGGGTGTAAAGAAGTTCTGCTGCCATCTTTTGATAAAAGAACTTTTTGAATGAGACCCTCAGCTTTACTCCTATTCTAGAAGACCTCCTGGACATCCAAGTCCATTTGTCTATGCCTTCTACAGAAGATTGACAGATAGAGGGAACCAATCAAACCCACGTGATGGGAGGCAGATGATACCATCAACAAAAATGAGGAAGTTAATCTTTAGTTGCCTGGAAATTTGGGTCTGAGACGATGACCACATCTCCTTGCTGAGTGTAGTCCGGGCATGGAGTGCTCACGTGGTCCTGATGCAATCAATCCATCAGCAAAACTTCAGCTGTGGCGATCAGAGGTCTGTAGCTGATGTCGAGGGTTAAGTCAGGCCACCTGCTGGAGGTGGTGGTGTGGGGAAGAAAAGAGCTCCATGGGAGCCCTGGCCGGTTTGGCTCAGTGGATAGAGCGTCGGCCTGCGGACTGGAAGGTCCCAGGTTCGATTCTGGTCGGGGGCATGTACCTTGGTTGCGGGCACGTCCCTGGTGGGAGGTGTGTAGGAGGCAGATGATCAATGTTTCTCATCGATGTTTCTGGCTCTCTATCCCTCTCCCTTCCTCTCTCTAAGAAAATCAATAAAATATATATATTGGGGGGAGGGGGGGGGAAAAAGAGCTCCATGGGAGCTTGAGACACCAGGCTAGAAAGAAAGGGGAAGGGAGGAGAAAGAAAGGCAGGAGAGGAAAGGGGATGTATGACAGAGAGACTAGGGAAAGAGGACCTGAGAGAATGGGATCCTACTTTCCCTCAGAGCCACTCACCAAATTTCACATGAGGCCTGGGTGACTGAATGTCCCCGTGAAGAGGGAGACTGGAGCACCAGGGCAGATCCCTCTGGTGCTCACTCTTCCAGCATCATGTCAGGGACTCAACGAAATCACCCAAGGCACCTCCTTGGCCCAGTTCTGAGGCCCCAGTACAGGAGACACATACTTTCCCATCCCGAGTTCTCATTCCACAGATACTTATTGCGTGCCAACTACACGGTAGGGACTATGCTTAACTCTGGTGATGAAGCAGTAAATTAAACCACCAGATACTTACATTCTGTTGAAGAAGATAGGCACTAAACAACTACACAAATCATTTCTAACCATAAAAAGTTCTGCCAGGGAGAAGTACAGGGTGCTATGAGGATACACAGCAGGAAACCTGCATTTCTGAGGCTGAGAAGCGAAACAATGATGTCTACCTCTCTCCCCGCTTCTGGTCCCTGCATCAAACATGGTTTTCTGAGATTAAGAAATGTTTCACTGCTAAGATGCACAAGGAAACGGACCGAGTTAAAAGACCAAACAAGGAGAAAATTGCAACACGGCAAAAAATGTTAAGACTTAAGTAATCGTTATCCCTCATGGCCACTGGAATGCGAGTTGAGCTAAGCTTGAACTCTTGCATTAGATTCTTCATTAAGACATGGAATCCAACCACATCTTCACTCCTAAAATTGGTTATCTCCTCAACACCTGGAACAGAGATAGAAATTAATAAGAGAACTAGAGTAGCTGGTGAAACTCCATTTGGATTAAACATTTTCTGAGGTGGTGGGGCTTAAATCATGGAGTTTTCAGAGTCAGGAAGCTCCTCTGGACTCACCGACCAGTTCTCAAGTCCTTGAGGTGGTTTTCCTCTGTAAGGAAGCGTTCACTAGTCTGCAATGAGATGAAATAAGTAAGATTACAGGTAGTGAATTTTTCCATATTTTTTTAAGGACTCTCCTTAGTATTCTAAGACTATGTCTCCTCCTTTTTCAGTAGTTAAATGCATGTGTTTTGTTTTGTGTGAGTTTTTTGTTTGTTTGTTTTGGTTAATCCTCACCCGAGGATATTTTTCCCATTGATTTATTTTTTATTTTTATAGAGAGTGGAAGGCAGGAAGAAAAAACATTTCCTGAGGTGATGGTTTTCACCTGTGTACTTATCTCCAAACTCAAGTTGTACACATTAAATACAGGGGTGGGCAAAAGTAGGTCTACATCTATGAGTACACAAAACACAGGGTTTATTCTTGTGTTATTATTTAATTATTTGTTTTATTTATTTGTATTACAACTGCAAACCTACACAACTGTAAACCTACTTTTGCCCACCCCTGTATATACAACCTCTTGTATGTCAATCATACCTTAATAAAGGTCAATTATACTTCAAAAAAATTTTTTTAATTTCATGAAGAGGAATTCTGAACCAAGAGCCTTATTTTTTTTATTCCATTGGTTCTTTAATCCCATATCTAGAAATCTATCTTGATATTTCTATCAGCATAATTAATACATTTTTTGAAAGCTGAAAAAGAGAAAGCCCAAGTATCCAACAATGGAAAAAAGGTTAAATAAATTAGGATACATCCACATGATGGGTTATTGTGTAGACATTAAATTTTTAAAGTAATATCAAAAAATTTCTATATGTGACACAGCGCCAGAGTTAAGTTAGGGTTTTTCAAAATGCTGACACGCCGAGCTCAAAAGGTTCGCCATCACTGGTCTAAGGTCTCAAACCTGGATGACTGGAAGGATAGTGATTCTATTAAAAGGAGGTGGGGGAGAAGGATAAAAAGGAGCAGGTTTCAGCAGGAAGGTGATAAATTCAGATTTAGATATTTTGGAGTCTAAAGTGTTAATAGGACATTCAGATGAGTTAGAGCTTGAGAGCGTAATGAAGACTGGGGAGAGTGAGGTGGGGATCCTGTGTTTATTAGAGCCACAGAAACAGTTGAGATTGTCAAAGGGTTAAATAAAGACAGAAATAAGCTTAAGGAGTTTGGGGAAGAAAGAGGAGCCAGAAAGGGAGAGAATGAGTCATAATCAGAGGAGAACCAAGGATTTTCAAGACACAAAATCAGAGGAGTATTTTAAGAAGGGGGTGGCAATTGGCAGTATCAAATGGTGCTAAAAGGTCAAGAGTTCTCATAAAAGCCTTTGGATGTTTACACTAGAATCTTTCAGGTGACCTTGGAAAGTGAGAAGGGTATAGATGCTTGATTTGGAGAAGTGGGGGTGTAGAGGTTAAAGGGGTGTAGTGAGGAAATGAAAGAAGTGGCTCCATTTAACTGCACAAGTAATTTATTATTTATTGAACACCCAACATATGACCTTCTTACATATCTTTTGTGGACGTCCCATGAAACTAAAACTAACCCTTCTCATCTTCATGTTCTAAAAGTGTCATTTCATTCCAATTTCTCTTTTGGTGCTGATTTTTAAAAATAGCTTTATTGAGATACTAGAGGCCCAGTACACAGATTTGTGCACCAGTGGGGTCCCTCAGCCTGGCCTGCACCCTCTCACAATCCAGGACCCTTCAGGGGATGTCAGATAGACAGTTTTAGCCCTATCCCCACAGGCCAGATCCTGACAGGAGGGAGCCTGATTGTGTGTGTTAAGCATCTGCCCCCGGTGGTAAGTATGTGTCATAGCGACTGGTCGACCGGTTGACTGGTCAAATGGTCACTTAGGCTTTTATATAGATAGATACTTCACATACCATACAATTTAACCAATCAAAGTGTACAATTCAATGGTTTTTAGTATATTGACAGATATGTGCAATGATGGTGCTGATTTTAAGGAGAAACGCTTTGGATGTAAAGTTTGGAATCAATTCCTATAATATATGCTGTAAATGAGAGAGAGAGAAGACCCCAAACACCAGAACAAATTCTCTACTCGCACCCTCTTGAGCAGAATCACAGAACTGAATGGCAGCCTAGGTTGTTTTGCCCATAATGGCCACCAGGTGGCAGCAGGACCCATGTCCTGTCTGTCAGTAAAAAAGCAGATGAACCAGTTTGAGGGCCTGTGTTTTCAGAGGATCCCCAACCTAGGGACGATTTTTTTTATTCCCAGTTCCTTCCTGTTACTTATTATTTTCTTCTGGGTAACTCTAAAGATTCATGTCACCCTGCTGGTATGACTAGGTGGTTGAGCATTGACCCATGAACCAGGAGGTCACAGTTGCAGGCTCAATCCCCACTAAGGGGCATGCAAGAGACAGCCGATCAATGATTTTCTCTTATTTTTTTTTTAATATATATATTTTATTGATTTTTTTATAGAGAGGAAGGAAGAGGGATAGAGAGTTAGAAACATCGATGAGAGAGAAACATCAATCAGCTGCCTCCTGCACACCCCCTACTGGGGATGTGCCCACAACCAAGGTACATGCCCTTGACTGGAATCGAACCCGGGACCCTTCAGTCCGCAGGCCGACGCTCTATCCACTGAGCCAAACCGGTTATGGCGATTTTCTCTTATTGGTCTTTATATCTCTCTCTCCCTCTCCCTTCCTCTATCTGAAATCAATAAAAACATATTTTTAAAAAATTTTTAAAGGTTCATGTCTGGCCCTGCTAACAGGTCTTAAGCTGTGGGTAGTTATCATTCTGGAGATAGACCTGGCTGTCTTCTATGTTAGTATGCGTCCTCTGAGGAGCAGACACCAAGACTGAATAACGGTTTTAGTGGGGAAAACACCTGTGAGAGAAAATAGGCAGGGAGCCAAGGAAGGCAGGGAGAACCGTCAGACCATGATGAACGTCTGATGGAAGGAGAGAGGGTAGGAAGGTTGGGTGGGTTTCCGCAGTGTAGTTAGCCTAAGAAAGGTTTGCAAGACCTTCAGGGAACCAAAATAAACCATCAGGGGAATTCTGCGTCTCCCAGGAAGAAGCCTACCTTGGTATCCCTGCCAAGTTCAATTATTGGTTGGGCTGCTCCTAGGACACGGACGTTCCCAGGCTGCTCGCCTGGAAGGGTGGCCCAGGTGAATGCTGTTGGTCAATTATTCCACTGGTAGTGGGAGGTCTACGAGGCCCATTCTTATGGTCTCCACAACTTCATAGCATCAGCCTTCAGGAGACTCTACCAAGTGCCTTCTGTGTTCGCCACCACTGAGGGGACAACTGAATCCCTACCTCTCCCTTCACGTGCTGATTTCACTCTCCTCTCCCCACCCCTCTCCCAGGGAACAAAGAGTGGGCTCCTCCATCCCCTGCATCTGACTCCGTTTCTGCTTGTCTGGATGCACCCAGGTACATGCACCTTCCCAAGCAAGTCCTACCTTTTCCATAACTCTGCCTTTGGCTCCTTCTTGCTTGTAAGCCCTGCAATGTGAACGAGATAATGGGATCAGGTGGGTGGTGGCTTCAGCCCTGACCCACAGGCCCACCTACCCTGACAGGAAGCTGGCCAGCACCAGGCCCCATCTATCTCCGATGACCCTCCCTTGGCACCAGGTTATGGCCTCAGTCAAAGCCTAGTACATGACAGGGCAGCCACACATTTGCCAGGTGGTCCAGAAAGCCTGGTAGCTCTTGGGGGTCAGGAAGAAGAAGTTGGCCTTTGTCTGGGGAAGGGAGAAGACTGCTGGGTGCCTGGCATGACAGGGACTGACTGGGCCAATAGCCTCTGTGGGCTTCCCTCATGTTTTGAAGGCACTGCTATCTCTCTTTCCACCTGGCCAGTCCTCAGCTGGAAGACAGGCTTGGGAGGGAAGGGATGAATATAGTTGGCTCTCTTGGCTGCTGCTTGAAAGGACATGGGGAAACCAAGGATTCTGCAAGAGCATGTCCGGGCCAGAAAGCATTGCAAACCCAGTCTCCTGGGGAAATAGGAGGAAATAACCCGGGCTGTAAAAGGGGATCTAGCCAACCCCTGGTGTGGAAACAGCGAGAAAGAGCCTGGAATCCCGCATGATGACATCACTTGACACCTTAGACATAGTTATTTTACATCTTAGGTAAAGCTAAGGGCAAGTGCGGGATTTTCCCTTTCTTCTCTTGGGCGGGGAGAGGTGGAGAAGAAAGGGGGAGGTGGGGAATGGAGTAGAAGGAAGATGACTCCCAGAGGCCTTTCAGACTGGGACTTGCCCAGGGGCCAGGACCCTAGGTTCCAGGGTTTATGGAGGATGGATGGGGCCATGGGGGCAGTGGTGGGTGGTGGGAGGACAGAGGAGGATCAGGACCCAGCAAATCTCCTTCCTCCTGTCTGTTCAACATGTTTATTTCTGTGCTCTTCAAAGAAAACCTGTGAAGTAGCTACAACGCACCTAACAGATGTACCTGATACATCCCCACCCCATGGTCCCCAGTGCCCCACCCCAGTAACCTAGGCTGGTACAACTTTCCTGAGCCTTGTAAAAGAGGGGTACATACGTGGGTAAATGTCAATAGATTGTCAAAGCACATAAGTGCACATACGTAGACATTTTTCAAAATTCCAAACGAGTCTGTTTCAAACCCATTCTCTTCCCCTAACTCACTCTAGGGGCCCCTCTATAAGAAAGGGCCCCTCTCCCTTCCCAGAAACTGTACCCTACTTAATATGGTATGTTTACCCTTTGCCGACATCAGATACTACCCTGCTCAGTTGGCTATTGTGCTTTGTCCTGTTTCTCTTGGAGATCTGTGAGCTCCCCAGGGGTGGGCCCAGAACTCTGGCTCCATTCTCCCTCCCACAGAGTTGGGAGGGAATTAATTGACTTTCCCCTGGGCGCTCGGAGGGCCCAGTCAACACTCAATCCCCAGGTGGATACATTGGCTCAGAGAGACCCAATGGGAGAGCAGCAGACACTTGGCCGGAAAAAGCTAGAGGAGTTGGGGAAGGGGTGGGGGGCACACAGAAGGAAGCTTGGCTCTGAACACAGCCAGCTGCCCTCTGGACCTTGCAACCCCGCTGAGCCCCACTCAGCTGCTGTGTTAGCGCAAAGCAGGGGTGACATCAGCGGGGGAAGAGGTTACTGTCAGGCAAAGGGAAGGCAAGGGGCGAGTGGGCTGGCTGACTGCACCTCCCTGAGCAGGAGGCTACAGGGCTGGGAAAAGGGTGCCTTTCGGGGAGGGGAGAGTTCTGGCAGGGGCCTGCTTGTAGGGAGGGAAAGAGGGGAAGGAAAGAAACAGACTGAGGGGTGAGGGGCTAGAACTGGCTAAGGTCTGATACCTTTCACAGATGGGAGAGAACAGGCCCTGGTTTGAACTTCCGGAAGCCAGTTGTGACCTCCCTCAGGACACTCTTAGCAACTACAGAAAGCAAATGGGGTCTATCTCTCTCTGACCACAAAGGCAAGGCTGGGGCAAGCCCCTCCCCTCTCCCCACTTTGGCTCCAAAGCAGTCAGGGCAAGAAAGAGGTTCCTTTCAGCTCATTTATTTCTTGAAGGCCCTGGGCCTGTATCTGCTTGTCCTCTCTGTATGTCCGTCCTAGATGGAGCGCTCTGGTGTGGTGTGGGGCTGGCTTCCCAGGCTGGAGAAAGATTCCCTGTGGGAGGTCAAGCCACCACAGAAATCTCCAGCCTGGCCCTTGGAGATTTTGTCTCCAAGTCTCACCCTCCCAGACTGTCAACCATATACTCTGCCCCAAGATATGAACTGTTCCCAGTCACATGCACTATCTGACCTGCAGACGTACACCCAGGTCTGAGATATAGGTAGTAATAACCTGGTAGAAGCCCCTCCCCTGCGACATACACCAGCACATGCAAGTGTGTGCACATGTGCACACCCCCCCCCCCCGCTTCCCCCCACACACACATACTCTGCTTGACAGGGGAGCACCTTGGGGAGAAAGGCTGGAGAGAGAGGTAGGTCATAGCTCTCTGGACAGTGTGGAACACAGGGAGCCGGTGGGACAAGTGCACTGGCTTCTTCTTGACCAGGGTCACTCGGCAGAAGACCTGCCACGCCATCTGTCTGGCCTGGAGTCCAGGAGGAGCCATATTTGAGGGCCCTAATCAGTGGCGTATCAATTTAGAGTCTCTTTCCTCCTTCTGGGCCTCTAAACTCGTCAACTGCCCTGCTCCACATCTACATCTCAATGGCCCCTAGGGATTTAGCACTGCCAGCTCCTCCAGGAAGTCTTCCCTGACTCTCTGAAGCTGGTCTTGTATGCCTCTCCTCTGGAGTCTATAGCATTCTGTGCTAAGTAAGTTTCATGATCCAGCATCCGCTGTGCTGAACTGCCAAAGGTCAGGACCTCCTTAGCGCTTACCAGTGAGCCTGGTCCACGTGGTGTGCCATAAACATTTGCTGAATGAATGAACCAGTTTACTCATGGAGATGTGGGGGCCCCATCCTTTGTTTCACTCTATCTTCTCCAGAAGCCAGTGGTGCCCAGATGGGATCCAGAAGAACAGACCAGCCTAATGCCCTCTCTGGGCAGGAGGAGGGGAGTTCAATCACACTAGCTTTCCTGTCTGTGACTCAGCTTGGACAGGGAAGAGCCCAGAGCCAGGGAGGGTCCTGCCCCTTTAACTTGGCACAGGACAAGCGCTGGCCCAGACTTAGGAGCTGGCTTCCATCCCTTGTTCACACCGCCCTCTGTTCCATGGGAAAGCCTGGGGTGGGGCTGTGAGGACAGTTTGTACAGCTCTGGCCTTTTACCCTGACACTGCCCTGCCTGGGACAGCGTGGATGGGCAGATATGTGGGCTGAGTAGATCTCAGCTGGTCTCAGTATGCTTGTTGATTTGAGCAGGGTGGCACTTTAATCTCGGGATCTGAAGGGACAGAAGGGACAGTGGCTTGGAGAGTGCTTTCTCCAATACCTGCAGTTATGGGGGAGGAGACTGCCTAGTTTCTGTGACTCATGGCGTAGGGCCTGCTAGGTCAAGGGCATGTATTATCTTTACTTATGGACACCCAAAGTCTGGCTGAGATCTGTGTTTTAAAATGTAAGAGGATGAGGAAAGAGTAGGTCAGGAAGGACAGAGTTTGGAAGGCTCAGAGCCTTATGTTTGCTGCTGGCCTGGCCTTGCAGGAAGCCCAGAGGGCAAAAGGGAGGGCATGTTACTAGTAAGCGGGCTGGCAGTGAACATCCTACCCTCCTTTTGACCTCTGGCTGGAGACAGTCACAGACCTTGAAGGTAGATGTTATGCAAAGACCATCCCCCGCCACTGGGCTAGAACTCCATCTCCCTCTTCCATGCCACAATCCCACGCATGTGTCCCCAAGCTCCCTCCTCCCAAACATGTCAGGAAAAGAGAAAAGTGGGGCCGAAACTGTGCCCAGTGCTGGCCCTGTATGTCATAAGTGGGCATTCATGAGAATCCCATGATTTCCTGGGATAAAGGTCACTTATGTGCAGAAAGCCTAGCACAGGGGGCCCCCCTCCCCCCCACCCCCCACCCCCACCCCCGCCATACCGGAGCCAGATAGGTTGACTTCCCACCTGTGAGAGCAATGCGTGATCACTGAAGTCAGCTTGCCCCCATTTCACAGAAGAGAAACTGAGGATCAAAGCATTGAAAAAGAGAAAGAAACAGGCTCCGGAGTCTTGTTATTTTCCATCCTCCCAAGTGTCAGCTTATTTTCTGAGCACGGTCGGCTACTGTGTCACCCCTTGCCTGCCGTGACATAGGGAAAACAACTAAAACCTACAAAGGGTGTTGATTGTTTTGTCAGCCACAAAACAATGCAGCATCTGTATTATAATACCCAGGATTCCGGGGCCTTCGACATGAATCTAGAAAGCAGAGAGACCTAATAAACTGAGTCTGCCCATCCATTTCAAAACCCTTGCCCAGGCCAGGGCAGGGTCAATAAAAGGGAACATCTTACTAAATAGACACGGCAGATGATTTGACAGGCCACATGACTCACAGCCACAGGAAGTGAGAAAGAGAGAAGCAGCAATGCTCCACAGCCTGCTTCCATCTGAAAGCTCTGGGAGGGGGCCACCCGCCCCGCCCACCATGCCTGGACGACTCCCCTTCCGAGAGGTCAGGGCGTCCTAGGAAGCCCACAGCACTGCGGTGCTTAGAGTGGGAAGCCCAATCCATGCTCCGAGCAGTGAGGTCATTAAACAGAGGCCTCCACCCAGGGGGAGGAGAGTGCTGAGGCCGCTCTGAGAAGTGCCTCCACATTCAAGAGGCATAGCTCACTCTCTCTCACCTGTCTTGGCGTGACCTGCTTGGGTTGCCTGTTTTCTCTGTAGGTAGAAGGAAATTTTGACAGGACAATCAACATGGTTGCCTCCTTAGCAGTGGGAAGAGGTGGAGAACTGCTCAAACTGACCTCCCTCCGGTCAGGTATCTCTGAGACAAAGGTCAGATGGATGCAAGCGCGCAGGTGCAAAATGAAATAAGGGCTAGGCCACAGAATTCCTCAGAAAGAC